GGGGGATTCCTGGTCACCTCCTCTGTTTCTATCTTGGGGGCTTTCCCTGCTCCAAAGTTCTTAATTACTATCACATTGCAAGAGCTTTTAGCAACCATCTGATGTGTTTGGTTTTTTTTTTTTAATTTCTACTCTAGTTGTTTCTCTGGCAAGTAAAGTGAAGACATTTACCTAGGAGGCAGCCCCCAGTTTTCTCCAATTTCTTTTAGATGTCCTGTATGTCTTTTCCACTCCTTGGCTTGGTGCAGGCCCCTCTCACTGGTGCAAAGGGGAGAAGTGGAATATAAGAACTCTGGTCTTGTTAAATGTGAAGGCATGTGCCTGTAATCTCAGCACTTGGGATGCAGAGGCAGGGAGAGAAGTTCAAGGCCAGCCTGGATTCTGTGAAGAGAGAGAGGGAGGAAGGGAGGGGGAGGGGGGAACATCTGTGGCATCTTGGTTAGGTTCCTTTCCTTTCTCTTCCTCAGTAAGGGTATAGCAATCAAAGTTCCTGCTAAGCTGACATTATGGAAGTCTCTAAGATACTCGGTTGTTATTGCTGCCTTCCCAACAAACCTACCACCCAACTCTCCTCTGCTCATTGCTAAGCGTTAGACCTCTGGAACTGCAGGCATCTTGCTCTCAATTATTCAGCTAATTAGTAAAGCAAGGTTTGGCTGAGGGTGGGGTAGCTTATCAAATCAGGCAGTTTTTGCTGAGTAGGATGTAAATATTTTCTGGGATCTCCACTCTAAGCTAGAAGGAAGCCTTGAAAAATTCAGAAAGAGGCTAGACAGGGTAGCATGAACTGGTAGTTCCAACACTTGGGAAGCAGAAGCAGGGGAGGATCCCGAGCTTAAGACCAGTCTTATAGTGAGTTCAAGGCCAGCCTTGGCTACATGGTACTTTGTCTCTAAAGAGCAGTAAAAGAAGAACAGAATGGTGCAGGTTATCAAGTTGAAGGTAGTTGCTTTGTGAAGGTGGGCATTGGGGCCAGACTAGAAAGCCATGCCTGGAAATTAGGCATAACGGCACTCACCTGTAGTACCAGCACTTTGAAACACTATACCCTGTGTATGATCATTCAAGTTTTCTATAATTCTGTAGATGCAAATCCTCTTGAGCTTAGGAAGTCTACAAAGCAGCAGAGCCTGCACTTCAAAGGACTATACAGAGCCTAAGAGTAAACTGAGGGTTCTTTATAGATGGGGAGAACTTGGGTTTAGGTACTGAACCTCTTCTTAGAGCAGCATCCATATACTTCTTGTCATTTGTATAGATCAGAAAACATTGACATGGCTGACTTACTATTCTTGATATCAGAAGAATATGCTCCAGTCTGACCATGACTCTTACTTACCTAAAATGGCCCCACAAGTGGTAGCATTAGTAGACAAATGCTTATGGTCAAAGTAATTGACCATGTAAAAGGCTCTCCAGTTTGCCAAGTTCTTTTATGTTTATTATTCCAAACCTCAGGCAGTGAGAGAGGAGACAGGCTGGGGAAACCTGAAGGACTTTGCACCAGCAAAGGAGTGAGTGCTGATCCCTCCACAGTGCTGTGGAGAGGTGTTCTGTAAATGCTTCCTACCGGGTTATGGTAGAGACTCCTAAGACTGAGGGAATCCACAACTGTCTTCTCTCTGGCAGATCAACAGCAGAGCCAACATCATGGACAGGCCAGAGTCACCATCCTTCCCTCTTCTTTCTCAGTCTACAACTCCAGGCCTGGCTGGCTCCCTCCTGCCAAATCAAGTGTCATTTCCCTGGGCCAAAATTTCATAGGTTTGAGCAGGACCAGGCATCTGGTGTCACATAGGCACCCCATAAAGTTCTTGTATGCCCATGAATGTGCAAGGAATTAACCGTTAAATGGTATTTATCATCCAGGTAAGAGAGGGATTGTCATTAACTGAATAATGGGAACCCCAAGAGGCCCAACATGCACAGAGCGTTTCCTGTTGCATGTGGATATAGTGTTAAGTGTTTTAATGAATAATCTCCTTTGTGTCTTTCACTGCCTTATAAATGATGATGATTAGATGTAAAGACAAATTCACTAATAAGCCTGTCCCTTCCGAGTCAGTTCTAAAGCTGGCCATCAGTCTCTTTCTTTATATATATAATTTTTTTTTGTCTTTTTTTTTTGGGTCTTTTTGAGTCAGGGTCTTCCTGTAGCCCCAGCTGTCCTGGAACTCACTATGTAGACCAGGCTGGCCTCGAACTCACAAAGATCTGCCTGCCTCTGCCTCCCAAGTGCTGTGATTAAAGGTGTGTGCCACCATGCCCGGCCCTATATAATTTTTATTTTATCTGCATGAATGTATTGCCTGCATGTAAGTGCATCTGTGTCATGCAATGCTTGTGGAGGCAGAAGAGGGTGTTGGATCCCCTGGAACTGGAGTTAACAGGCGATTATTAGCCATCATGTGGGTGCTGGGAACTGAACCTGGGTCTTCTCTAAGAGCAGCCAGTGCTCTTAACCACTCAGCAATCTCTTCAGCCCCCACGCTCTTTCTTAGTAGCAGTGATGATGCCCTCAGCCATCTTGTTTTAGGGTAGTACATACCCAACTCTAGTCAGTCCATTGACTGGGGGTAATTTTATTCCCTAATCACATGCTGTCATCCAACCTGTGATTTCTTTTTAAAAAGTGCCATTAGATGGTCAGAATATGCCAACCTCCAGCCTGGGGTCATTTAGAAGACATATGGGGTCTCTTATAATGATGCAAAAGATAACAGATTTCTTCAGCTTGTATTTTTATCTTATTTTCTGAAAAGTTTTCTCTGCCCTCCAAGTACTAAGTATATTCAGTGGGCAGGTGGTATGATGAAAGTTTTTATGCATCTTTCTTGGGAGCTATTTAGCACCTTCTGAAGATGGCCCTAGGAGATGAGATAAGAGCTGTACAAACCTATGCCAGTGAACAGAACATGGGGGCAGAGTGTAGAGAACACAGAACAGTTGCAGGATAGGGAGGTATGAGTTTGATCCCCTGAACCCCTATTTTAAAAAGCTAGGCTTGGGGCTGGAGAGATGGCTTAGTGGTTAAGAACACTGTTCTTGCAGAAGACCCGGGTTTGAATCCCAGCACCCACGTGGCAGCTAACAACTGTCCGTAACTCCAGTTCCAGGGGATTCGACAGCCTCTTCTGTCCTCCTCAGGCGTTGCACAACACGGGTGCACTTACCTACATGCAGGCATAACACTCATACCCATAAAATAAAAATAATAAAATATTTTTAAAAATTATTTAATAACCACATGAGAGATAGATTTATAAGAACTTGCAAAGATATTGCAAAGATACCCCATGTGCCCTTTCCTCAGTCCCCCCCATACCCCAATGCTCACATCTTAACTATTGCACAATGTCCAAACCAGGAATCTGACCTTGCTACATCATGCCTACAGTTTTCTGACTTACAAGAACAAATTTGAATTCATTGAATTTCAGCCCTGTAACTGTGCACATTTTTTTCATATTTTATCTTTTTCCCCAGTCGTCTGTGATTATATTGTCAGTAATGAATTTTTGAGAGCATCTCATTTTTCTGGCACTTTCCTCTCTTAAGGTTTCTTAATATTCTCTCAACA